GTGTGTGTGTGCGTGTGTGTGTGTAGATATAGAGAGCTTTTTTTTGGAGTTTCGCAAGATGCTTCTGTTTCGTAAGGCTCTGCAAGGGCTTTGGTATTGGTTCCGGCAGTGTGTTTAAGGGTTCTGTGTGGTTTCATGAGCGTCATATAGGGTGGATCTTCAAGTCAGGGGTGCTTAGAAAGATTTTCTGTACTTCTTACAAGGATGCGTGGATTGTCGTTGGAGTTGATAAGGCTGATAAGGTTCGTTGACATGTTGAGTCCAAAACCTCCCAAGACAACACTGAGTCTTTAAACCGCTCTCCCTTAACCCTGAACTTCCTGAACCCTGTCCGGAGCCCTGAACCCTGAAACGCTAAACCCCAAACCCTAAAATCCTCCAAACACTCTAAGCTTCGCAAAGGCAGTCGCACAGTGAGTAAGGACAGAGATGACATGCGCCAAGCGAAGAGCGATTAGCTTTAGAAAGCTAGGGAACCAATGCAGACTTAAACTACTAGAATCCTTCATACTAGTCTCAGCAACCTCAAGCAAGCAAACGCTGGTTTCAAGGAGCCCCGTCAATTGCATCCCTACACATTCTTGATCTGAGTACAATCCCGACCCCCCCCCCAAAAAAAAAATAAAAAAAAATAATAATAACATAAACATGGAAATAGTTTTAAAAATAGTAATAATAATATAAACACATAAATAAAACAAACCTAAACCCTAAACTCAAAACCGCCAACCCTCTACCCCAAGTTCAAGAAAGACCTTCCATAGACACCTAAACCCTAAACCCTAGACCCTTCATAGACGTCATCTCTTTGAGGCCAGGGCCCAGGAGAGCACCCCCTGTGCCATGGGATCCTCCCCAAGGCAGGCAGAGATGAAAACTGAGGCCTAGGTTTAGGGTTTAGGGTTTAGGGTCCCGATGTATCTAGTCTATTTTGGGGTTTAGGGTTGAGGATCTAGGGTTAGAAATCGTCCCGATATGCATATGATATTATAAGATGCCACAGAAACTCACTCCGTTCTTTGTTGAAGATGGTTTTCAGATGTTTTGTGGGGTTAGGAAATGGGCCCGTCCCACAGCTTCTAGCATCGGAGGCTTCGTTGAGGCCGGTTTAGAGGGCGCCGTGCGATCGGGATGATGACGGTGACGGCTCCGGGCTACAGGATAAATTGAGACTCAAGAATGTTCCAGCATCTTTCCGGCAAAGCCTGCTCTGTACACATCTGCACACTGTACATGTCAGTCGACGATTGATGGGCTTGGGCCGGATTACTGGCGCCATACTCGTGCAGGTTCAAGCGTGCGGCGCTCCATTAACCATTCTGGACCGCAGTGGATACAAACCTTGTCGTTGTAGCCGTTGTTGCAGAAAACCAATTCCTCGTGCTGCCCCTGTTCACAGAGCTTGGGGTCACGTAGGCAAACACCTATCGTGCTGCCTGCGCTGATCGCGCAAAGATCGTAGAGATCGGCATCCCATAGCGGTTTGTCATTAGCGAGCAGAGTCACAGCAGTGGCACGCAGTTTACGACAACGAGCAATGTGCTCACGCAAATCTTGGATGGATTCGAGGCACGATGCTTCCTTTGCAACCAACTCGATTTCATCGCCGGTCATACAGTTGACGATCTTCACCCCGCTTTGGTTCACAAGTTCTGCAACAGTTGGACATATCTGCACTTCAAGGTTCATGCTCTGTCCAATGTCGAGATTCCAAGCCTTATGGTACAAGTCTTCCGACGCAAATCGGACAAAGCGGGAAGGGCGAAGCGTCTCACGTGCCAGGACTTCTCGCACCTGCTCCAGTGTCCACGTCTTCGAGAGATCTACATGCCAGTCCTGCCCATCACGCAGTAGGGAAAGCCTCTGAGAAGACCACAGCTCAGCTATGGTTTCTCGCAGATGCACCTCAAGCACGACTTCGTCGTCCGGCCCACAGATCCATGACTGGGTATAGCGCAGTTGCACCATTCCCTGTTTACAGCCCGCGAAGATTCTAACGAACTCAGGGGGTCTCGACGTATGCTTCGCGACACAATCGAATATTTGACGCAGGTGATAAGCATGCTTGACATCTGCTTCGCACGCTCTCCCGTCTGCATATATTAGCCGCAGTCGCCCAGCCAAGATCATGTCGGACAGACAGGTTGATACTCTTAATTTGACATCTTTAGAACTGGAGAGGTCACAGCTGTCTGTCAAGACCTTGCCAGTTGCAACTTCCGTGAAAGATAGCTCGTATGAGGACATAACTCCAACAAGCCCCGACGATCGGAGACGGCTCGACTTGCATGCTTCGAGACGCAGATGGCACACGTTTGTTGCCTTGGCCACATCCGCTCTCACCTCTGTTCCATCGGGTCCTGGGCTCTTGTTGAGGGACTTAGCTTGAGGTACAAGAACAAAGAAGCCATCGCGTAAACGAATATTTATCATTACCTATAAACTATATTTGTGTGTATATCTATATATATATACACACACATACACACATATATCTGGCGAGCGCAACACCCTGGAGGGGGGACTCATCTCAAGGAAAATGTGTTGTTCCAAACTCCTTCCCTTCTTCACATCTGTTTTTCCATAGGGCATCGGGAGCGTTTGGGGCGTGTTGAAGGGACGGTAAAAAACATACACGTACCGGTTTGTCCCCACGTACCTAAAGCGAACTCGACATGCCTTGTACAATTAACGTACCTAACCTACGTCGGTTCCCCGGTACTTCTTGCAGTTTTGCTTTCACATCTTTCTTTCTGCTGGGTGTAATTGAAGGGGTCACGTCGTGACCCTCAGGCCTTCGGCCCACCCAACCCCTCCTATTTCAGTGAGTGGTTGGCATTCGGGTGCTTTCACTTGCTTGCTTGCTTGGGCCGGGGTGTAGGGGCTGCTCTCTCTCTCTCTCTCTCTTTCTTTCGGCAGGGCTGTGGGCAAGAGGGTTACCCCCCTTGCTCTCTCTTCTTATTCTTCTTCTTCCACACAGTCAAGGAGAAGCAGCAACGCCCTTGCTCTCTCTCTTCTTCTCCCAGGCTCTCCCTCTCTCTCTTTCACCAGGGTTGTGGTGGGGAGTTGCCTCCCCACCGCGGGCGAGTGTTGCGGCTGCCCACATGTTACATGAAAGCGCACTCAGAGGCATGGACCCGCGAGAAAGGAAGACTCAACACTACGGTACATAAGCCATGTCCGGGGGCCTTCCATCGACTTAACTTGCAGAAAAGACCAAATAGTGCCGCAAAACTCAAGGAAAGACGATCCTCACTGTCGATGGTCGTCGATCGCGGGGGTGTTCCCCCCGATCCGGTGCGGATTCAGAGGAGTGGAAAGAACGGGAATGAAAGTTGAGGCGTACCGCCCCAGTACGGGAAGGACTTAGACAACAACAAAAAGACCTTGCCAAATTGCTAATTACTCCTCAGTTAACTTTCCTGCATTGGAGGGGCCCCCCCATTCTCGAGTAACATCACATGAGAACGAGTAGAGGTACAAAGCAGCTGCCACGATCATGTCACCTTTGCTGGAGGGGCCCCAAAACAGTTCAACTGTGCTACCAGAGCCCGGAGGACCGTGTGCCACACGAGTCTCCGTCTCTCTTTCTCGCTCTCGTGGTGACTCAAAAGAAGCTCTTTAAGGGACACCCAGCGTCCGATGAAGAGGGCCTCCAGACAACCAGCGATGAAAGGCGTGTGCCGCTCCCACTGCTCCTTGTAACCTGGACTTGTCCATAGCAAGGAGCACCTGGCAGTCTCAGAAAACAAAAGACCTCTTCACATAGATAGACTATGTAAGGGTAGTTCTCTAAAGAAAAGGTCCCTTTGGGGGTCCTTTTCATCAGGGTGCCGTATTATCTTGGGGACCCAAAATTGCCAAAAAGGTACCCCAATCTAGAGAACTACCCATAAACCTCCGATGTTTTGATGTGGAACTTTAAGCAAACCTCCCACCTGGACCTTAGTTGGCAGCGCATCAAAGTGGATGGAGCGGATCCTTTGCGCCGTCGATGCCCCACGGAGAAATGGTTCGGTCCATGCTTGTCAGCTCGGTCGGCTCGAAAAGGTCGGGGCAAAAACCCCTCAGAAGAAAGGACGGCCCTATGAATGTGGTGGAAGATGCCTTTGGGGCAAACCCAGGTGCCATCCAGGTCCTGCAATGTGAAGTCCTCGAGCTTATCCATCTTTTTCGGCAGCTTCGTCGAGCTTGTCAAGCGGCTCCACCTGCAGTCCTAAGGCCTGAAAAAGGCCCCACAGCTTCGAGCCAATTTGTGTTTTGGGTCAAAGGTTGCAACACAAGGGACTCCGTGCAAGTTGCATCTTGTTGCACCACTTCCGCGGTCCTCTGGCAGAAGGTGGGGGCGTTGTGCCAGCCGCTCATGACAACGTTGTGCGACGTCCGGCCACCACCTCACTGTACAAGGCAACCAGGCTTGAGGTTGGGTTTGGAGCAAAAGCCGGTTTCAGCACGCTCCAGTTGCAAGCAGGGCCTCTTCGTTCTCTATCTCAGGACTCTTGGACAAGTTGGCAGCCCATCCAACGCACTTGGGTTGACTACCAGCCTGCGAAATTGCACAAGAAGTGAATGGGTACGCAGGGCCTGAGATGTAGCCGAACTTCAATGCATTAAAACTCTTGACATCTTCAGACAAAACCGGGAATACGGGTAATGATTGTGCTCTAAGGTTAAACATTCAGACTCTTTCTTCGGGACTGTGGTTCCAAGGCCTTTTTCGATAGAGACCTGACTGGGCCTCGGGCGCATCGGAAAACAAGCTGCTGGGTTCCTGTGCTCGGGTGCTTTCCACCATCTAACTTCATGAGCACTTCCATAGTCCAATCCCCAAAGTCGATGTCACTGCCCATGTCGGCAAGCTGACGGCCTCGTCACTCGCCGTGGTCGATGCAGCGGCGTCCGAATCTGTCGTCCACTCGAATACAAGTCTAGAATGCCACACAGATTGCAAGGCGTGTTTCCGGTGACGACGAGATACATCTTGTGGACAATACAAGGGAAAGCAACAGCTTTCCTGACTTGCCACCCAATTCTTAGCACGATTCTATGCATCACGCTCATTCTGGCGGCCTTCTTCCGCCTTTGCGGTGCTCCTGAGAGAAAAATGGCACTTGCTCTGGAGCTCTGACGATCGCGCATCTGAGGAGCAGTCAGCGGTCTGGCAGGCTGCAGTCCTGGAGACAGTAAACGAAAAAGTGGGGTATTGTAGGTGAGATAGGCCTCATAGACGTCATCATAGTATTGTATATTCTTAGTAGTGACTAGTAGTGCCAGGGCAGTAAAGGCTTCGCCGGGCGACCTTTCTTGTCGTCTTTACTCCCTGTGACCACAACTCAAACGCAGTGGCACCCTACGACTCAGAGAAGTGAGAGCTGGTGGTGGCATCCCCTGATACCCTTGCCGCCTTGCCTGCTGCCAGAATCGGCGAAGGACCGACGCACCCATGGAGGCTGGCTGCGGGCCTTTGACTTGAATCCGAAATCGCGGGACATCCGCTATTCAATATGTCATTGTTGTGGAATGTTGTGGATTGGCTCCGCAGCCGCATTCTGATGGGAAGGACAGCCTGCAATTCATCTATATACCTGAGGGCAGACGGCACATGCCGCAATGCTTTGTGAAAGAGTGGCATGTTGGTTATCATCACCGAGGTCCGGCTGTTGAATGTTTAAGCTTAGAGACGCGAACACTCCAGTTTCGACATCGCTCCATCTTGGCAAAGAACACAAGAATGTGGTAGGTGCAGGTGAGAACAGCACTGCATGAGCACAAGCTGTCTTGCAGGCACGGTGCAGCCGGTATGTGCGGGCCAGTCGCCACATGGCGAACCACCTTTGAGTTGAGCCCTGAATCATCTGACAACTGCTTGCAGGGTTAGGGAACGCTCACCAAACGAGATGCCGTGTACGCTTGAGAAGGGACTTATTGGAATGCATCGGATTGCATCAGTGCTGAGTCGGCTTGTCTACTGGCTTTTCGGCCTTTCAATCTGGTCTTCAGTCTTGCAAAGCTGCGCACAGAACAGGATTGGCGTGATGCTTGGCAAGGCAGGCCCGGCGAAATGGTAATTGCTCTCTTGCGGATGCAATTCGCTCTTTATTTGTGCTCTCGGCAGATGCGTGAGCTTCCAGACTCCACATGCCCGTCTGCCCTCAGCTACGAAGCAATTTAGAACCATCTTGCTTCAGTAGGTCGAATCTGGTCATAGTGATAGGTGCGGGCTTGCTGTGAGCAGAGGTTGCAGAGTCCGAGGTGCATTAACGGATACCGACAGCGGCTGTTCAGAAAGGCACCGTCAGTCACTCATGATTCGCCTTTTCCGGTCTTTCCTTTTCCTTTCTTGCCTGAGCTACCGCATGAGCAAAGGGCGCAAACCATCGGAGCGACATCATCGAGCCTCCTTTTCCTTCTCCTTTGGCTTCTCTGCCATCACCTTTGCCATCCTCATCATGACTGTACTTGCCTTTGCTCTTACCTTCGCCCCTTTCCTTTCCTTCATCTTTGCCCTTCGCAGACTTGCCTTCTCTGGGCTCTTTTCCTTTAGCATCGATACCCTCCTTGCCTTTGCCTTCTTTTGAAACATTACCTTTGCCTTCCTTTCCATCTCTTTCCCTGTCCTTGCCTTCGGACCCAGCCTTACCTTTGTCCTTGCCGCTACCTTTCGAACCTTCCTTTCCACTCTCCTTGCCATTCTCCTTTCCATGCTCCTTCCCACCACCTTTTCCGCCGCTTCTGTTGTCCTCTCTCGGCGCCTTGGCGTGAAAGATCTACTGGGCCCTTCCCGGAGTCGCTTTGTGGCTTTTGGAAGCTCCGGGACCGAGACTGAGCTTCCGGCATATCCATCGTCTCCACCTCGCGAAAAGAGCATCGATATCTGAGGCCCCCGTAGTCAAAACAGATGCAAAAAGGGCCGTAGGCAAGCAGAAGGCGCTAGTGGCCTTTGGATGCTTTGCCATCTTTGCCATATGAGCCTTCTTTGCCTCCCTTGCTCTTCCCTTCCTTGCCCTTCTTCCCTTCCTTCCCTTCCTTCCCTTCCTTGCCTTTGCCCTCCTTTCCTTCCTTACCATCTTTTCCTTTCCAGCCTCTACCCGACGGCTCATCCCCCTTCCTGCGCCAAGTCAGGGCCACAGCTTACAATCCCCAGTCACTAGCTTCTCTGCTCTCCGAGCCTCGTCTTCCCTCCCTCGTCATCTTCGCCCTTCCCTTCGCCCTTGGATTCCTTTCCTTCAGGGCTCAACATGGGTGAAGCCGAAGCTCTCGGAAGCAAGACCCTGCAGGGCCTTTCTCCCCTTTCTTTCCCTTGCCCTTGGTGTTCGCCACACCTCGCGTCAGGAACTGTGGGCGTTCCTGGCATTTTGCAAAAGCAAAAACGGAAGACCCGAGACTCCGGCCGTCAAGCTGGTCGAAGGACTGCTGAATGGCATGTTGCTCCTAGGAAGAAGCTCGCAGCAGGGTCGAGCTCAACATCAGGGCGTTAGGGGCTCTCGGTGTTGAAGAGGGCTTTGGGGCTTTAATACTTTAAGGTACCGAGATCCGGGCCTCGTCCATGTCTTTGTATACTGGGAGATACTCGCGATGAACCGAGATCATGAGCTTGGCGTCCTCGACCTGGCTCGCGGTTTCTGGCCCGGACACTGACATCAAGCCTAACATGTTCCTGGCCTGGCTGCGCAAGCCGCAAAGCTCCAATGTCTTGGACTTGTCATCGTATCTGCATGAGGGCAGGTTTGAAAGTAGGTCCAAAAATTCTGATGACTGCCGCACTTCTCGCGGCGCCCGGCTTTATAGGCACAATGAAACTATAACGGTCTGCGTTCAAGATTGGGACCGGCAAACAAGCTTCAGCAAATGGTTTGGTGGCAGCATCTGCCATTCGCGATGCCTAGCGTGGTGGAGCTTTGTCTTGGAGGCGATGTCCTGCAAACGAGCATGTCAGAGCAGACAGATACGGATCAACGGATCAGCAAACATGACCATGTCGTGGTGTTGCAGAAATATCGACTACCTGTCTCGACATGATCAACAGGTGCATGGTTCCTGCAACCTGCTGTGCTTTACCTGGCGCCACCGCACAGTGCCAGTACCAAATTGAGGTCGCCGACAACACACAATCTCAAGTGAAGTCTGCCGCGTCTGCAAGGTCCGTGATGGTCTGGTAGCCCTTGCCCAAGATCCATCCAACATGCTCGCTGTCCACCGAAATTGACACCTCTGACAGGGACGTGGCACAGCCGCTAGATCAAAGGGCCTTGCAACAGACCAGCAGATTTGCCGAGGACTGCACGGTGATGAACTCCAGTTCATCGCGTGCCGCTTTCACGGTCTCTGGTGTCTGCCCACACACGGTCACCCTGGCAGGTGGGCTTCGCTGCTATAAGACGAATTCCCTGCCAAGACGATACGGACGAGTTTGTCAAAGGAACGTTGAAAAACGGTACGAGGACAAATTGCAACTGCTCCGAAGCACTTCACACATCTTGAGTTCCAATACGACTACTGAGTGTGACTGTTGTTCGTGGGAACAACAGCAGACATTGCAAAGATCGGGCACAAGGAACACCGGTTTTCAGCAAGTGACACTCGGCAGAAGAAATCAACAAGCACCACTTAGCTATGTCAGGGTGATGTCTCACTCGGACACTCCAGGCATCACGTCTGAAATGACACCTTCTAGCGTTGGAGACACAAGGAGTTGTCTTGCAGCTTAGAGTGTAAGATGCTGAAGTGCTACGAATACCTGTCCGCACCAGGCACCAGGCCTGCAGGCAGTGCTGTCTCTGCGAGGATCCTCAATCCACACCTCAACACCGTGTCGTTCGCGGATGTCGCGAACGTTGTCGCCCTGAGCACAGGCCACGACCGCAAGAATGTTGAAGCGGACGAGAAGTGCTGCACCGTAATTCGTGTGCCTTTTTGCCGATGATGCGGCCAACCAAAGTTTGGTCGACGTGGAAGACCTGTCGGGAAATCTCGGAAGAGGCTCGCAACGCGGGCTTGTCCGTTGGGCCTCCTGATGCTGGGCGGAGTGCCACTGCTTGGCCCTGGCGGAGGGGCGACTTCCCATGAAGCTGATGCAGCACTGCTGCTATTGGACTTTGTTCCGACTGAAGGCATACCAGAAAACGAAGAACACTACCTTACCCGTAGGCCCCTAAGTAGTTCCTTTTTGGGATTACCTTATAGGATTCTAAATATAAACCATAACAAGTAACTACTTAGGGGCCTATGGGTAACCCTACAGTAGCAGGATCCCCAAAATACCAAAGTACCAAAATAGCTTTGAGAAGGCCCACAAGGCAGACCGGCGATTCCTGCAGACAAACCATCCCCCCCCA